CGCGTTTCGTCTTATTTGGGACTCGTCAGATGGATGAACCTTCATCTCAGAGTTGATGCTTACTCCATCACTCGAACCCAGTACCTTTCGCTTTAAACATCATCACGTTGTCCACTAAGCTACTGGAGTCGTGATAGACACTTACTTGTGCAATGGTGTGAAGTTTTAATTCACTTGGTATTATTTACTTAAATCTTCTCATTGATGTTTAGCACTACTATATCGAGGCAATACACACAGTATGCACACATACCAATAAGAAACTGATCAATCGTAGTCCTAATCATCAATCGGTAGATTGAAGTTAAATAATACCAAGTGAATTTGATCCTATGTTATGTTTGTTAGAGGCTTCAGTTTCTTTTTTTTAAGATGTCACATTAATAGGATGAATAAGTTGAATAAAACAACTAATCTACTTAGTTTTTAACTAAGAAAAACATATGTTTTTATCAAAGTAACTTTTGTGTTTTTCTTCATGATAAGTAGTTATTATAGTGTGTGCTACTGATATCAACAGATATAAGTAGTATGTATCATTCATCGAAAGTGACATGTCTAGCCATAGAAGGTTAAGAAGATCGAAGAAAAGAGAATGGTTAGTGTGGAAACGAAGGAAATTTCATTCACTTTATCAGATACCTCTATATTCATCGACCAATATGCGAACGGCTTCCAGTGAAATCAATTAAGATTCGAGAAGCGCTGAAAGGGCCCAAAACAATCTATTCAATTATCGTTTGCAAGAACATTCCATAATCTCAATGTATAACTTCCTTATTGGACAGATGCTTAAAAAATCACTACTCCATGCTGATCGGATTATGGTAATGATGTTTTCGATTTTACTAAAAAAATTATAAATACCCGAGTGTTTTGTACTCTATTTGCCTGGTTGGAATAAAATTTCTTTCTACTGGTCTTCTATTCTCTAATTTTCGACTCAGAGTGTTCAAGTGTTCGAGTGATCAAGTTATACGCTGCAAAGCAAACATTCAAGTTCATCAAAAGTCTTGAATTCTTATTTGCATCAAGTTAAACCAGTCTTGATCCGCTGAACAACTAACAGTTATTACACAATCTATACTAATAACAATATATCAGTAATATTGTTGTGAACAAGAACATGAATGAGGACAATCGATTGTATTTAACAGTAAAATCTGAGAACCGTATAGTAAAAGTTAATTGGCAAACTATCAATCCATTGTCTCAGATTTCATTGTTCATGCATTTTCATATATCAATTGCATTCCGTTCCCGTTCTTTCCTTATCGATCTTCTATTCTATGCCTGACCACTGTTATATAATACTTATATGGATATAAGTAACCCACTCCATAATATTACCAAGACAAAATAAAGATTATACTTAAATGCCAATATCATATCATCAACATTTCAAGAATTACTTCTTTCGTACTGAGTATTATACAGTATGACATATTTAACTTTTATGAACTATAAATGATTCAAGGATTATCTACGATTGTCATTCCTTGAAATACTTCAAGGATATCAGCCAATTATTATAAATATTTGAAACAATTTTTTTGTTTTTATTTGAATATTACCTACAAAGAAATGGACTCCAGTACCCTCCCTTATCATGTGAGAATATATTCAGGTGTTCATTTGTTTATCAACATATTTGCTTATATTTTATTTGTATAATAACTTATTCATTCATCAACTACAAAAATTTATCGTTACAGTCTTAAGTAAACAATGTGACTATTTTTCTCGTATTATATACATGTATATCGACCGTTGTTGCTAACTTGACGTGGTGGTCGGAATCTCCCATTGTGATAAACCAATCGAGTTATACTGGCTGGAACAATCGTTCCTCAAGGTCCTACCATGTCAGACAGACCGGCTGAAGAGCGGTAAGACTAAATCAGCAAACCTAATGTCTGAGGGCAAGGTCGTACTACTGACTGTACAGAGGTGTGGTGGCAGTAAGGTGTTTCCTTCAGACAACCAGCATAAGAGCGATGCTGCCTTCCCACAACGAGTGGTGTGGTTGGGAAAGGTTAACCCTAAAAATGCACACCTCTCCTTATTCCACAGATATCCGTCTCCGGCGGTAAGGTCTCGACAAATACGGAGCTAACACGAAAATTACTCATAAAAAGGTCGTGTGTGACCGACCTCAAGCAGTTGTCCCTTGAGCATTGCAATCACCCTCTCAGGTCACTAAGACCACCTCTAATCCAATTTCCTTTTCAGGTACCTCTAGAAGAATCGTTCGACGTTGTGGGTAACCGGGAAGTGATAACCGCCCTCATACCTCTAACAGCACTCAAGATCATTATATATATATATATATATATATATATATATATATATATATATATATATATATATATATATATATATATATACAACATTAAGAGGAGGAAAAGCGAATGTCCGGAGCTGAATCTAGGTTGGTGTATACAAAAGATCTACTTAGGTGAGTTGGAAAAATTCGATTCTGGACAAGTCATGCACGTAGGGTTGAGGATCCTGAAGAAAAAATTAGCATATGAGTCTATTCTTAGTCACTGGTTAGTACGAGAATACATCTCCTATTGTTACTCTACTGCCTTCTAGATTATATCTCTAGGTCTAAGACGCTGAGAGTGGTCCCATATGAAAACCACATACTTCTGTTTGGAGATCCTAGTCCTTATACAAATTCGATGTCCCAAATATATAATCAGGTTGTCCATTTGTACCTATGTTTATATGTTCAAATTAATCAATATTACTTCTGATAGACTGAACAATCAATACTTAATTCAACTATCACTCATATTGCAAAAATAGTTGACAGTTCATTTTCTGAAACTAATTAAAATGGTTACATAACATAATACAAATCAATTCTGGCAATTGTTTTCTCTATACACATTATGTAATACAAAATCATTAAAATTAAAATTTCACATTTCTACATTTTATCAATGAAGATAGATTAAGAACAGGTATTCGATCTCCAGTATGGGGTTGTGAAGATTATAAAGATCATGAATTGATTGGTGTTAGATCATCAATAAAAACCTGGAAGCACTGGACGGCCGTTTTATCTTATTATGGAACTCCTCAGCAGTGTGCATCCACGACCTCGCTCGCGGGATTCGAACCCAAGGCCTTCAGTCTCGCAGTCTCATTCAATTGGTTTAGGTTAGACATCAACACCGTTGGATGCCAACTCAGTGGTCTAGAGGACTGATAGGTCCTAGGTTCGAATCTCGCGAAGTGGGATCGTGGATACGCACTACTGAAGAGTCTTATAATAGGACGAAACGGTTTTCCAGTGCTTCCAGGTTTTCGATGATATTCTAAGATCAATATTAGGTGAACTACTTAAATATTATAAGTAGTTATTTCACATCCTTGATAATAAACTAAAATCAGGAAACAATTAAATTTTACAGAAACCATTTCTCTTTTTTCTTCTTCTTTTGATTAAATGAGATTAACTCAGCTAATATAGTTTAACTTACATTCTTTTCAATGTAATTTACTGACTTAATTAGTCACATAGAAAAGTGATACACCTTATGAGAGTGTATTCAATTTTGATGTCGGAAGACAATTAATAATATTTATGTGGACGGTGAAGGAGTGGGGGGGGACAGGTGGAAATAGATGGAATCTTTGATTGTTAAAACAAAATAAGATTTTGTTGAGTTTCAATGAAATATATTAGTTAACATGATTTTAGCATAATGGCGGAAAATAAAATGAAGATCATCATAAAGCGGCCTGTTTGAATATCTGGGTTACGTGTTCCTATCATCTAGATATTTCAAAAAGTTATCGGTTTTATTTGTTTGTTTGTCTTAACGCATCACTATGTCTATTAGTCTCATAACCTATTCAGGCATGTGTGTGAAAAGCTTAAGACAATTCATTGTACAAGTTACAATAGAGCCCAATCAGAGATATCGTAGTTGCTGTCAATATGCATCGAAAAGAATGTACATTATTTAAATGTCGATACCTGAACTGCTAACATCTAACTGGCAGCCATTCAATATTTATCGTAAAGATCGATCACGAAATAAGATAAAAGGAAGTTTGTTGAAATACTTTATGTTGAGAATTCTATATTGTACCAAGAATATAATATTGAATAAAGGAACTAATAATAATAATAATACTTTTACCATAATGGCGGAAAATGAAATAAAGAACACAATCATAAGTATTAGGATGTTTTGTTAAAACTAGATTCTGAAGTTTTGGTCTATAGCTAAAATAACTTTGACTTGATGGATGCGCACTGCTGAAGAGTCCCATACTAGGATGAAACAGCCATCCAGTGCTTCCAGGCTTTCCATGATGGTCTAGCTTCAATTGACTTATGAATTCAATTATGAAATTACTACAATCTCCAGAAAACCCCTTTCTGATGATAAAAATTACTCAACAAGAAAACTGTAAGTGTGAAAGATCAAGAGTCATGAGCTTAAAAATAGTAATTCTTCAATGATTTTAACAAGGCATATAAACCTAAAAATTTCAGATAGGAATTTCTTAACTTATGATTAAATTCCTTTGTACATGATTGATCATAGTTCATTACTTTCGAAGGAATTTTGTTGCCCTGATTTAGTTACTCTTGTAGACTCAGTTACCAGTACGGTCGGTAATATATACGACAACAGAAGCTCAACACTTCCTGGATTCAATAGTTGTACAATTGATGTCAAACAGCTAATACAAACCAATTATATGCATCTATCAAACACATGAATTGATTTAGGTCCAATAACCAGTGACGAGCTGAAAGCATTGAACGAGCATTTTTTTCCCCAATAAGAGACTCCTTAAGAGTGTGTATACACTAACCCGCAACCGCAAATCAAATCCTGGACCTCCCACGTAAACACTTAACCTCTAGATCACTGAGTAAGGAACCGATGTCTATTTAAAAAGAACTACTTATTTCGTGAAAAAACAAGATATTGTATTAAAAATACATAATTATGATTGTTAGGAGTTACCTTAGATAATTTATTTCTTCTATTTGTTTCCCTCTTTTTGTCTTGATTAGTTATTTTCATTTCATAATCTGTATTCTCATTTGGTTTGTTTCTATCGGATTTTAAAAATGTCGTACCATATTCCTCTTCATTAGAATCCATTGGTTTTTTTCGTCAGATAATAATGATATTACTAAAAAATAAATGAGAAATGACATTATCATAACCATTTCGGCATCAAACATCATCTAATGTGGAAATCATTTAAGTCAATCAGTCAGTCAGTGAGTCAGCTACAACGTAGGACCCGGCACACAAATACATAGGTCCAAGTTGCTATTACCTCATTAACACAACAAGATCAACACCAGATTCATACTACTACTACTACTTACTCCTGTTACTCCTCGTGGAGGAGCATAGGCCACCCACCAGCACTCACCATCCACCAAATCCATGGGAGTAGTTAATTCAGTGGTATTATTATATAATAGAAAGATTGCATATGAAGATATAGTACAGGAAGAAAGAATTAGTTCGTAGAATGAAAGATATGAAGCAGTTTTAATCTCATAGTTTAAGGGAAGACAGAGAGTGCATACACTGACACAATTCTGATCGATTCTCAAACATGTCACACATAGTCTCCAACAATTGGTTACAAGAGTCACACGTACTCCAATCAAGTAGTCCGCATTGACTGACATAGCTCAGATCAGAAGTTAGTAACTTCAAACACCGATGACAGGTTTTGGCTGGCTTGACATTCCCTAACTTCCTTCCAACCGTCTCCAACACTAACCAGCATTTTGCGTCGTGGTAATCAGTATTCAGGCATACGTAACACGTGATCCAACCATCTCATTTGATGAAGATTCACAACTTCATCAACTGATTTATGAATAACAAAAATGAATATTCATTCTTTGTTTGTTGTTTTTGAATCTTTACATGTGTATATTTGTGGATTGACATAAATGACACAGCTATTCATTTGCCAACATACAACATTGATTAATTATTTACTTACTGGGTAGGTAGTTTTGTCATTTGTAATCGATTCATTAGTGATTTAAGCATTTGTTGTCTAGACGAAGAGCTTATTCGTCACAGCAGTTAAATGATTTAGTTTATAACCCATCAGAAGAAAACCAACATATTCTTTCAATTGATGTATATATTTACACAGGGATCTGTGTCGACTATAGACTTTTCACAATCTGAACCACAAAATGATTTTAGCTACCACCATAAATATGTAATTTAAAATGGTTAAAATTAAAATTCTGCATCAATAAAGATCAAGTATTTTTGCATGAGACCAAAGATCCTAACTTCGACTTCACGATGGGGGACTGTGTTTTCGATTGCTGAATAGTCCCATACTATGATGAAATGGCCACCTAGTACTTCCAGGTTTTCAAATGATGGTAATTCGAATTGACCATTGGGTAGATTGTTATGAATAATATAAAATAACATATTTGCATATATTCCAATGAGTAGAAAAATTAGATTTTCTGATGTTTCGTGACTCGGTAAAGTCACTTCTTCAGAGAATACATAGACAAGTCAAATTAACCCAAGTTTAAATAGTACAAAGGAACAAAGCAAGAGTACTTGTTGCGATCAATATATGAACAAGTCAATGTCATGTCATTCCAGTAAAGGTGATTCATTTATACATTCACAATTGCATAATTGTAATTTCCAAAACAAAAAATTAGTATCAGAAAAGGTTTTGTGGATATTATAGTAATTTATAATAGTTGAGGTCATGAGTCAATTAAAGCCAGATCACTATAGTGAGACTCCTCAACAATGCGCATCTGCGATCCCTCCCAGCAATATTCGAACCCAAAACCTTTCAGTTTCGTATGCGAACGTTTAACCACTAGACCACTGCCCTGGATTTTAACGGTTTTAATGTCTAACTTCAATTAATCCACGAAATCGAACAACATATCCAACATTATCTTTGGTGAGTTAATAATCTCACAATAGACACCATTGAACTCCACTGATCACTGCTTCTCACTACAATTCATCATTAACTATTCATTTTCATGATGAAGTTGAATGCACTAAATTGTATTACATTCTATATCTCCATACAGAGAAAGAAAAAAAGAGTATTAAACAATTTCGTTGTTATTATTAGACTTAGAAAGGAACAGAAAAAAGTATCGTTATCTTGTTTGAAAGAAGGGAAAAAACCACTGAAACGATAATGCTAAATGTTTCATTTACTTTCTTTCCTTTTTTTTCATTATACAATGTTAATGTTCATTTAGTTGCTTTTTTTTTCTCTCTCTCTCTCTCTCTCTTATTACATTTATTGTTATGTTAATGATACAAGTTACGTAACAAAAATATTTTGAAGAGAAAACTACTCATGTGAACTATACAAGTAGTAAACGGGGTGGAGCACTAAGTATTGTATGTGTGTGTGTGAGAGGGGGAGAATAAGAGAGAGAGAGAGAGAGAGGGAGGGAGGTAGAAATGAAAGTCATTTTGTTCACTAATCAGTTTTTTCTTTCATTGAAAATAATTGAATAAATTTCAACTTAATAATAAGTCGAAAACATTACTTAGAATAGATGGATTGTTGTTAATAGACAAATTTAAGACGTAGGTTTTGTCTGATCTTGTTTTATTTGTTAGCTAGATATATCTTCATTTCAGTGTTGATATTCATGAAAAGAATCGAATTCAATACTTTTTTTGCTTCAAACACCGCTTGGATTATCCATTGAATTATTGAATACCGATAGCTTGTTCAGTGGATATGATTTTCATGTAATCGACATTATTATGTAGGTACCACCCCATAGATAGAACAAAATGTACGCCCTTGACTCCACAGTTAATTACAATTCATCTATTCTAAATAACTAGTGGCGTAACCACTACACTGAGTCAATTAACAAAGGGTGTACCTAAATCAAAAAGGCCAATCAAGGTTCTACCAATAACATTAACAACAGGATACCTCAAACACTAATTATCAATATAGGGTTGTGAAGATCATTAAGCTTTTGATTGAGATAATGAACCAATTAAAGTTAGACCACCGTTGAAAACCTGAAAGCACTGGACGGCTGTTTTATCCTAGTATGGGGCTCCTCAACAGTGTGAATCCACGATCCCACCTCGCGAGATCCGAACCCAGGACCTATCAGTCTCGTGCATGGACGCCCAACCACTAAACCACTGAACCTGTCGGGATTCAACAGTGTTAATGTCTAACCTCAACCAATCCATGAAATTGCGCGACCATCCTCCATTTTACTGAGGTGGATTCCTGTCTCTACCTGACACGGATTAGCTCTACTGGTCTTGGCTTCTCACTAGTATCCCAAGAATTCCCTAACGAAACTAGTCACTAGTGAAATGTGAAACATTGTGTGTTGTGATTTCTTCATTCAGAAATGATGATTGATAGTGTTGATTATTAATAGTTGTCTTCAAACTATAAATTTGAAACAGCATGTATAATGAATAAATAGATAACTTATTTCCATTGCAAGCTGTGAAATGAATCTAAACAAGCAAAACTGTCTTTGAAATAGTACAAAACTTAATAAACCAGGAGTATTACATGGGTTAAATTATCCTTTTCTAGAAGTTAAATGGAGTAATATTTATATAAATTCTACAACTTAACAGTTCGTCACTGAAAAGCACTTTCTTAATTGTTTAGTCGTACATTTGTAGTAACCAAACTAGATTACATTCCGTTGGTTTTAGACAAATTCAAAGACTTAATCTTAATATCACATTGAAACTAACTGACGAATGCTTAGATATATTCCACAGAAATTTCTGTCTATAAATGATTTCATATATTTCATATATTTGTGAGATATCAACCCACTGAAGACAATAACGTACGGTGACGCAACTTTGTGGGTTGCTTGAAGTTAGACATAAACACCGTTGGATGCCAACTCAGTGGTCTAGTTGGTTAAGCACCTGGCGCGAGACTGATAGGTCCTGGGTTCAGATCTCGCGGGGTACGGGATCGTGAATGAGCGCTGCTTAGGATTCCCATACTAGAATGAAACGGCCGTCCTGTGCTTCCAGGTTTTCCATGGTGGTCTAGCTTCAATTGACTCATGATTTCAATCAGTGATATTTCCAAATAGTCACGTCAATATCACTTCAAGTAAACCTAATCTCATCTAAAAAAAATAAATGTTTCTATAAGACAACTAAAATCTCAATTATGAATGTTTGAACAGCATATTAACTAATTTCAATGATTGAGATTATAAGTTAATTGAAGATAGGCCACCATGGAAAACCACCTAGTGATTAATCAATTGTAAATATTGTAGTGTTTATACAAAATCAATTAATTGATAAGTAGGTGATACTGATTGATTCAAATCGAACACCATAAGATCAATATTTAAATTGATCTACACATTAATGCATCACTTAGTGATACAATCACAATAGTTACCAGTGAAATGTTTAAATGAAAGGGGACATATTAATAATCACAAAAAATAAAGAATTATAAAAGACCTTGTCATACAACAACAAATAATAGGTTGTGGCAATTTTTGAATTTCATTGAAATCATGAACCGATTAAAGTTAAACCACTATTCAGAACCTGGAAGCACTGGATGACCGTTTAATCCCATTCTTGGGAACTCCTCAGAAGTAGTAGTGGTCTAACTTGGGATTGGTTCATGATTTCAATAAAGAAGCTAGTAGCTGAATGCTAGCTTAAGCAGAAACATTGAATTCTTACACTATGTTTTAAAGGAAACGTGATAATGATGATGAGCTTTAAAACTTTTGATTATGGTTCCTGATTGAGTCTGTGTGTACAGACTTCTGAGAATTCTCTTATCAAAACATGACAGTTCTTCACTATTCTCTGTTCTTCGTTAATAATCCAGTACATAGTGATCTGTGATAGAAATCAATTACAATCTAACATAATTGTTTTTTATCAGTTTAGTGGTTGTGGAGATTAAGCTTTAGATTGAAATCAAGAACCGATTGATGTTAGACCACCATTGAAAACCTGGAAGCACAACAAGATTTATTTATCTAAATATTGGTAACCAAAAAGCATTGGTCAAATGTATTATCATTGTATGAAACGTTTCAACAGAACACACATTCACAACCCTAACAGACATC